GGATAGTTTGATAATGCAGAGCAAAGCCCCCTTCTTATTACTTTGTGTGTGTAAAATTCTCCCCGTTCATTCCTGAGCTGTGCTGCGAAGAGGAAGCTGCCCCTGAAGCTGTGGAGATACACTCTAAGCTCATAGTCGCCGGACTGAGCACTGTGCACAGTGAGCCATTGTTAAGGTCGGTGAAGTGACCCAAAACAAACCTCAGCGCATTGTGGGGACCCATTTTAAGATTTGTGAGCAGGATGCTGATTTCGCTGCAGGACAACATCAGGGGGGAACATCCTTTGTACGTGTATTTCAGTCAAAGCTTTCCCATCAACCCGACCCCTTCTTCTTCTTCTCTTCTTCTTCTTGCAGAGCGCTCGCTTTCTCTGTGCTGCACTAATTCTTCCTCTAATTATGAGCCTCTGTGTCCTATTTCCTCCTGACTGCTTTGAATTTGCCTTAATTTGTGAGCCAGATATTGACTGCTGCAGGCTGCTAGATGTTCTCGAAATGTTAGGTTGCAAATAACATTTCAGTGCAGTAATGGCAATTCGCTGAATCATGCTAATGGAACAAATTGTGTCAGCCAGGGATATTAATCTCAATCAAATGATTATAATTACATTTACTGTACACCAGCAACATATTTTCACTATTCCAGTATAGACATGTAATCAGTGGTGATGTACAGTATCTGAATGTTGCTTCAAAATTCAAATTTTCCTCTTTTATTTCCCCAAACGCGGCTTTAAAGGGCCTGAAAACGTGGCTTCAAATCTTATTTTTCTGTCTATAACATTAAGTATTCTTGACTGCAGGTTTGATCAAACATCCTGAGGTATTATTTCTGAAGAGTTTAACAACATAAAACTCTAATCTGTTCTGTCACGACCGAGTGGTTATGTTTTTTGTATTAGATTGACAGTGGCCCAGCAGCTGAAGCTTACAACCCAAAACCGTCAACATGTTTTTGTTCCAAGGTCACTGCATGTTTTAAAGCTCCATCAATACATAAAAACTGAATATGGACATTTTGTTTCATGCACCACTTTACGTCCAAAGTCAGCCCCATATAAATGTCTCTCAAACCTTCAATGAAACTTATTTTGTCAGTGTCACCGCTCGAATAAGTAATATGGTTATCTGTGTGAATCTGATATTTATGTTGAAAAGTTGGCATGGCTTAACACGCAAAGTTGTACCCTGATGGTGAAAAGCGGCAGGAGAGCGGTATCCAACAGGGAGAAAAAGACAAAGCCCATTATAACTTTATGAAGTTGCTGAAGCAGTTGAGTATGTAATGTAATGACTTGCACATTATCTGCTGCAGACACAGACACCTCAGGGCTGTATCCAAGATATCCCGGGGAGAATGAGGAAGATTTGAGGTGGGCTGAACGGCGAGACTGAGCAACACCACGTAGCATCCTTTTTTGCAAAGCTAGCTTTCATATTAATGTGCCTTTAAAGTTTACGATCCAATGAGAAGTGGAAGTCATGATACCAAGATGTCAAAGTGATTTGTTTAAGCTTTTGTTATATTTTTATTCACAGAAAAGAAAGATGATTTTATGCACACAAAGACCCAAATTATTTGTTTGTTTTTTTGTCATTTCAAACTAATAAGAAGAAAACTAATGTGCGCCTAATGTGTCTACTGATGTGCCCCATATACCCGTTAGCGGTAACATTATGACCACCTGTTCTATCTAATGCTGTATTCAATACAACAGTTCTGCCATAAATGCTGCTCTACAATGTTTGCTTTTGATGACATGGTGATGATTCTTCTTTATATTTATCATTGAAGTGATACTGGGGGGTTATGAGCTCGAGTGCATTATATTTAAAGGTGTTGGAGCAAAATATTAACTCTTCAGTATAATAATCTCTAGTCCACCTCTGCCTACAATGACTCCAGTAATGAATATAAAGCACAATTATCACCTTTCTGACCTTGTCAAGAAAACCTGAAAATGTAGAAGCTATGTAAAAGTAGAATTAATGTCAAAACTGTCGTATTGGTTTGTATTATTGTCACGCTGTAAGGGTTACGGAGAAGTTTCAAAGATGGCAGCGGGCAAAGGTGCAGCGACTCGATGCTCTCGGCATCTAGTGTTGGGTTTGCTTGTCACCAAGAAAATGTTGTTGTATTGCATACAATGGTACTATAGTCTCTAGGTCTTATTTGTTTGCACAGGTGGTCATAATGTAATGGCTGATTGGTGTATTTTTAATGCTGGCTGAAACCCGTCTTCAAACACTTTTCAAGCACTCCAACTACATCTTAGACGGTTGCTATTTGTTGGAGATCATTTATGGTTCGACTCAGCATTGTTCTCTCCATGTTGAATCATCAAATCGAGGGATTAACTGCCGTAAGAATGAAAAAAAAAAGTCTGGTTCTTTCATTAAAATGTTTTGGTGGCCTTGGAAAACTGCGCCTTTCATTACAGAAGGAAACATTACATAAAGCTTTGGCACTGGACAAGAAAAGAATCAATAGCGAACCTGAAGGTCTTTCTTTTTAATCACAAAAACACAATTCTCCTTTTTTGTGTTTTGCTATCTCTGCAGACTGTGTGGAAATCCTCTCTGGCATCAGATCAGTGAAGATCCTGAAGAGAGTGGGCAGCCCTAAGGGCATGTGGACCAGAGACCCCAGATCATCAAAGGTCTACGTCTTTAATGGGACGTCAGGGGACAGCGTCTACCAGTTCAACTCTGTCAGGGACTTTTCCAGCTCTCCGGGCGCCTCCAGCAGCAGACAGATCCGACTGCCCTCTGACTTCAGTGGTCCTGGCAGCGCCATTTACAACGGCTTTTTGTACTACATACAGCAGGAAGCTGAAACAGACATGCAGGTGGTCAGATATGACCTGACGAGCGACTTTGTGACGGACATCGCCATGTTCCCCGTGGAGAGCAGAGCTGCAGTTTACGGTCTCAACCCAGAAACTGTTGCAGACCTCGCTGCAGACGACGAAGGCCTCTGGCTCCTGTATGCCTCCAGCGACAGTGAACCGAACATCCACCTCGCAAAGATGGACCCTGCCACGCTCGATATAGAACAAATCTGGGACACCCGCTGCCCACGGGAGAAAGCAGAGGCGGCTTTCGTAATCTGTGGCACCGTCTATGTGGTTTATAACACCCGTCTGGCCAGCCGGTCTCGGGTGCAGTGCCTGTTTGACGTCAGCGACATGGTGCTCAGCGAGGAGGCTCCGCTGCTCTACTTCCCAGGAGGTACGGAGCCCACGCCAGCCTGAAATACAACCCTGAAGAGAAACAGCTTTACGCCTGGGACGATGGATACCAAATCATCTACAGACTCACCATGAAGAGGAAGCTGCTGGTTTGACAGCAGGAGGAGTGGTGTCATATTTTCAAAGGCAATGAGAAAAATTATGGTAAAATAGTTCAAGTAGAAGCCTGCAGCAATTCCCAGGAGATATTTAACATAGACTGTATATAAGAATTGGATGTGGCGTCTTATTTTTTAAAGGTGAAGCCAATAAAGTTAAAACCTTTTTTTTTTACAAGCTGAGAACTGTTGGATTCATCCTGCATCTGTGTTTTGAATCTCTTTATACGAAGTGGACGAAGCCTCAGGGTCTGAAGAGTAAAGCCAACAAAATCTTAAACCTGCATTCTTCAAAAGGCAAGCGGAGGGTAAACAGCAATGTAGGAAAAATGTCTCTCCGTGTCTTGTTCAAGAGTGAGGGTGAAATGTATTGACAGTTGGATTGATGTGGCGTCAGCAATAAGTTGTACCGAAGAAATTTACCAGCAAAATTGGTTTCCCTTCATAACTTATTGTCATGAGCTTTGGGTAGTCACCAAAAAGAATGGAATAAAAGCTGTCAGGAAGAGATCTCTGCATGCTTTGAGCAGCAAAAAATGTATTGACAGCTGAAATAATAAATTATCGTTGGCCATTTGCTGAAAAATGTATGTTCCCAATTGTTCTCTAGTAAATAAGAAGTGGAGGTAGCATTGCTTTTAAAGCCTTCAAGATTAGCCATTTGGAATTCCCCATCTTGTTTTGCACACAATGCACAAACACATTTTCAAAAGCATGTTTTATTCTTTCAGTGGATAAGCACCATTAGAGAAAGTGGTAAGGAGGTTTTGATTGTGAGGTGGCTGCTCCATCACTGCAAAAGGAGCCAATTGAGGTCTTTTTTTCCCTGGCTAATCCAACTGGTGGAAGACCTCCGGATAGATGCAGAACGTGCTGGTGTAATTTCATATCTCGTTTGTCCTGGGGGTTTCACAGTTGGCAGCGAAAGATTGCCTGGGAAAAAAAGATCTCTGGTCTAACTTGCTTAGCCTGCTGAAATCACGACTCAGCACTCAGCAGTGGATAAGAGGGAGAAAAATGGTTGGATAGATTTTATCAAGCATGTTCAATGCAGAGTTAAATAGATGATATGCTTTTAAGCTTGGGTGCCTGTGATCGAAAAGTGGCTACTCTGGCCGACCTGTCAAATAAGGACAGAGGTGTAGAGTTCTGTCTTGACCCTGTAGTCCTAATATGTTCTCTTCTGGCTCCAAAAAACAAGATGGGGAATTCCAAATGGCTAATCTTGAAGGATTTAAAAGCAACGGATGACTTAACATAACACTACCTCCACTTCTTATTTACTAGAGAACAATTGGGAACATACATTTTTTCAGCAAATGGCCAACGATAATTTATTATTTCTCACATTTTGTGTGTGTATATATTTCCACAACAAAGAAAGATGTAAATGCCACTGTTTATTAGAGGCTGTCAAGTCTCGCCTGTGTGTGTGTGTGTGTGTGTGTGTGTGTGTGTGTGTGTGTGTGTGTGTGTGTGTGTGTGTGTGTGTGTGTGTGTGTGTGTGTGCAGTTGCTGCTCATTTAATTTGACCATTTTGATTCAGACAAAAATCTCATTTCCTTTGCGCCCGTTCCTGCTTGTTAAGCCCCCTGGCTGTGTCGTCATTATTTGCTGCGAGTTGCCACAAAACTAACAGCGCAGAACCCACTTTGCATAAATCTTTTAATCAAAGAGAAGAAAATCAAGTCACAGAACTGAACAAACATCACATCCCAGGGGAGAGAGAAAAAAAAAAACACTTTTTCTGTTGCTGATTTTCAGACTCGATGAGACAGAAAGAAAGACGATTAGTGGCAGACACTGTTTGCTGTCTCGTTTACTTTATTACACACTGGGTCACTCTTTAGTGTGAGTCTTGATAATGATCTAAAATCTAAAATGAAATCATAGTAGACTTTTTTTTTTTAAACTAACAACTGTTGATATCAATCACCAGAACATTTTTTTCTTCAATATTTCTATTAGTACAAATACAAAATGTTCAATAAAAAAATTGGAAATTCAGTATTATCATAACAGTTGGAAGGGATACAAGATCATATCAAGAAACGTTACAATATTAGGCGAAGCTAGGAGGGGTTTGAAACAGTAAATAAAGTGAGGCAATGGGTTGAACAGGTTTCATCTACAGTGAAAACACAGCACGTTGTCAGAGGACTATATGACCATCATAGAGCACAGGGTTCAAAATCAAAAAGGAAGAAACATTATTATTCAACCACTTTCATAAATTGTACACCAAAGTAACATTAAAAAAGCTATGATAATGCTGTAAGTATAGAATCTCACCATCAAACCAACTGTGTGAATGAAAGCAAATGTCAAACTGCCACATGTCTGAGGAGGGGGGGGGGGGGGGGGTCTGGTTTGTGATGCTATGATGGATTACGCCAAGCACGAACAATAATGCACTGACTCATTCTCGCTCCAACAAGTCCAATTAGAGAAATGCCACCGCTGTGTAGACGTTGACCCCGTCCGCCTGTCAGCTGCCCCCCCCATGCTGACGCCTCAAACCTCACAAACACACACACACAGGTACTTAACTTTCTCACAAAGGGAAATGACTAAAACAGACTACGGATAAGTCTGCTGAATGCATCTGCTCAGATCTCCATTTTCACAAACTCTGTGATATATCGCTGGGACAGTCGAGCAGCCGACGATGGCTGTTATTTCTTTGTCCTGTGTTGCTGAATGAGGCACCAGCAGTCTAGACCTGTCCAAGCCGCGGCCAAGAACATTATTACACATCAGATTAAAAGCTGCTGTGGGCTGCTGTCGAGATAATACGAATATACAGTGACTAGTCCTCGTATCGGAAAGAAGTTATCTGTTCAAGCGTCGACAAATATAACCTGCAAATGTTCCTTGGCACTTTTCCTGCCTGATATCATTCTGGGCTCAAGTTTGAACATTTCCTGGCCTGAATGTGCTGATGCTATCTGCGCTTGACAATTACGCCATGACAGAAACGACTACATTGACTTTGCCCGAAACGATGGGAAAATAATACAAACAGAAACCAAATTGTGTTGTTTAACCATCACAACAAAAATATGTTACCTCCATTGCTCTGATTTTAAATGACAAGTTAACGTCATGATTTGCGATATACAGAGAATTGAGGAAGCGTGTGCAGCAGAAGGGTAGCAGAAAAAAAAGTCTCCTTACTCTTTTTTTATGGCAAATTATTGTGCTTTACACTTTTAATTTACATGCGGTGCATACACCAGAGTCACATTTAGCTTGCAGGTAACAGGCAAATTCTTACCCTGCACTGAAAATAGCAGATTAACAGATAATAGATACAATATGTCCAACAATATTGTAACCAGAGTATCCTTTAAATGTATGGAAAGGATAAAGTCAGGTGAAAAATTCTGACTAGTTAGGTGACATTATTTTAAAGTAAGGATCGGTGTATCACCTGTGTACAAATTGAAATTTGGAATGCAAGCAAGTCAAACTAGTTTAAGTGACAGTATTCATACCTGGAAACAGTTAACCACAAACCATAATGTTGTGATCGCTTAAATTGATATTTATATTTTTTAGAAAAAGATCAACGGAATAGAAAACAGGCAAATGTATGATTGTAGGTGGTCAGGCATATGTGGCACTCATCCTCCCATTTTCAAAACTGTTTCACAAACTTTGAGACTGTAGGCTCTGATGATAAAAGCCTTGCATCTCAAGGATGGTAGCACTAACACAAACTAAGAATACCCAGTTTACTGCCACACATTTTGATCAGATTTTTACAATATTTGGATGGAAACCGACCTTTCATCTTCAACATTTCTCATTTACTTTATCAAAAGGACGGTGTCCAGTCATAGAGTATAACAGCTTATTTTGAGCTGAGAGCCAGGTCTCCTTGTTGCACGCACAGAGAACATATTTATTGGAAAAAAGAAAACAACAATAAAAAAAGGTGCAGGAGAGGTGTGAAAGCCGATTGGGCTTGTTTGAGTCACCTTATTAGTATTTCTTTCTACAGACTAATATAGAATATGATACACGTCTTACTTTGGTGATTGTGCATTGCATGGTGCAGAAATTAACTACTTCTGTTGATCTTCTCATAAGCTTTCATTTCTTTTTCTTCTACCCCCTGTGTGCACACGCATCTCAGAGCTCATAAACACATGTATTAAAGCAAAACAAAACTCCAAGTAGAGGAAGGAAACAAGGGCACAGTGGAAAAATAAAGTGAATTATTATGTTTCACAATGGCACAGAAGCCAAATACAACTACGCTTACAATTTATTTTAATGCTGTTATCTCAAGAGCTGGGGGTTATTATTTAATTACCTGAAGATTAAAAAAACACATTAGTGTTCTTATGATAAGTGGTTGATGTATTTGGTTATCTCAAGAAAACAAAATGGCTTTTTTGTCAAGAAGAATAAGGATATTTCATTTTCTTCTCAATATGACAGGATAATAATTGAGACGTGGAAAATAAGAAGAGAACGAGCAGGGAGACAGGGAGGCGTCTGATTGGTTCATCATAATTGTGCCTCGTGGCGGACATTGGTCAAAGTTTTTACAGGCTTACAACTGCTACAGATAACAGATTTTCCTCGTTCCTTTTTCAGAGCACATGAGTTATTAATTTCTGTCAGGACCTAAAGACAATTTCGACCAAAATCTTAAAAAGTGTATCTGGAGGAAATTACCAACCCTGCCTTGTAGTCAGTTGTTTCAGCTTGTTGAGATTTTCCTCCATGCATGCATCATGGCTCTCCTGTTCTGTGATTAGCATTTTGAAATAACCACAGAAAATGACATTTTTGTTTTCTCATGATAGCTGATTGATTATGTCATCATGTAAAAAAAAAAAAAATACAAAGATCATTTTCTTGAGAAATGAACCTCACTGGTGATTTTGAGATAACAGCATTGAAAAGATGATTGCATGCACGGTTGTTTTGTGTAACAATTAACAGTCATGGGACAATAATCCAGGCCTTAACTGGAATTTTGTGCATCTAAAAACTTATTGCAAAGAGAGTGAAGAAAACTGATGTAGCAGCAGCTCTGCAGTCTTTGTCTCAACCATATCATCATTAATAATCCATTTACCACATGTTGTAGATCCCCGATCTGGGCGAAGGTTCAGATACATGTAACCCCCCTGTACAACAGCATGATTAATGAGAGTTTAAACATCAAGAAATCTGCATGTTTTTTAAATTCAAAAGACAAATATGTTCACCTTTTTCAGAGTTTCGATTTTTCTCCATCATCACCAAAAAAGCTACATATATTCAAAATGTCATTTTATGTATATATATATATTTTTAAATCTTTACCTATCATTGTTTCTTTTTTCAGATTTTCTGTTAAGAAAAACAAAACAAAACATACATACAGTAACCGGCTGTACATTGAAATTATACACATCCACCAAAAAGCTTGTTCAGAAGGACAACAAGAGGAGGCAACAAAGTGCTTTTTAGGAGTGTTTGAAGGAAAAAACATGAGTTTAAATCTGGAAGAAAAGGGTGACATTTTTCGGGAAGCAAACATCAAACAGACACAGAGGTAAGGGTGTGTAAAGTCTGCTCACTGTTTTGACCTTCACAGCTCCCGCCACACAAACGCGTATCCTGTCAAAATGACACATCTTTTCTCTTTAAGTTGGATTTTGAGTTATCGTGGTGTCCAATAAGCAATTTGTGACTTACTTGGAAAATGGACTCACTTTCAAAGCGTTGTTTTGTTATCCAATTTGATGTAACACTGCAGCCTATTTGCTCTTGTGTGATTACCAATAATCATTCTTCCTCTAGAATCACACCAAAGTTTGAGTCTCCTCTGCTAATGAAAACACACTGGAGCATTTCATTCCATCTCCTCTTAGATAATTGCTTAAGTTACCGATGAAACTGGAAGTACAGTGAACTCAGCTGGAGCTTTAAAATTCATTTAAGTTTTGCTATTCGCAAACAATAACGTCTGATGGAGCGGCTTTACATCTAATAGTTCCAAAATGCTACAGTTCAGAACCCTTTTTTTATGCCAACACAGCACTTTGAAATTCAATGAGCGGGAGAGAGCCGTAAGAGTGTTGAAATTGCTTCACATCCCGTTTGAAATCGTCTCTTTTTCTCAACCGAGTCCTCCTGCTTTCTATACTTTTACACTTCCGCTGCTCTCAGGGAGCGAGATCCGACTGTGGTTTTTCCATCAAAGAGTCTCTGTAGCACAGAGCTGAATCTTCAGTATTTGGAAAGTCTCCTTTGAGGACGCAGAGATCCGTTCGCCTCAGCTTTGGACAGCTCGATATCAACTGTCTGTCAAAGGGCGGCTTTTAGGTCTTCACAACACCGGCATCTCAATTCAGTGACCCCAAACTTTAACCCGAAAAGACTGCTTCACACATCTAACTGACTGGTCCTAGATCAGTTCATGGGAGTGCTCTGGGACTGAGGGAGGGAAAGAGGGACAGAGAGAGAGAGAGAGAGAGAGAGAGAGAGAGAGAGAGAGAGAGAGAGAGAGAGAGAGTGAGTGAGAGGGAGAGACAGTGGGGTTGTGTTTCTCCTCAATCAGACAGACAGGACGTGGATCAGCAGGAGGGAGGAAACCCCCTTCTGGGCTACCGGGTCACAGGTGGCTCTGCTCAAGGGCTAGCAGGGGGCCGGGGTGAGGGGCAGGAACCTTGGCTGTCAAAGCTGGCTGTCCTCGCCTTCCACTGCAGGACACACACACACACACACACACACACACACACAAACACACAAAAGGAAGTGATTCATAACACGCATGCTGTTTTTTTTGTATAACTATATATTACACTCTAGTTAATTTAACACAGGGGGAGATGTACATCTATCTGTCCATCTATCTGTTTTGTTTTGTGCTCCTGAAACAACGCCATTTACATTTCCCATTTAGTACCCTGAGGGAACAGGAGAAAAACATAATGCTAATGGACTGAAAAACAGTGTACAGTAGACTGAATTGTGTCTTTTGAGATGTAAACATCCTCATGAGTCTTCAAAGTATGAAAAAAAAACAAAAAAAAACAACATTAACAAGAAAAAGGACCACTTAGCCTACGAAAAACTTTAAACCACAGCAGTGGCTTAAAATGTGCAAAGTCTGCAATGACAGTTGGAAACCCCCCTATAAAGGGGCCCCCATCAGACAGCAATCACTCATATAATAGTAAATGACTGAATGTTGAGATTCACTTAATATGGGGGAGAAACATTGAATAACCTAACATAACGCCTGTATTACATCACGGTGTTTGTCTGACATTTTTATTGTTCTTCATATTTTTTATTTTGACATTTAAAGGTTTTTAATGTTATTTTGATTTTGATTTCGATTATTTATAACATCATGGAGAGGAATGCTGGTTGAACTGAAGTTCCCTCAACAGACTCCAGAATCACCACAGTCAATAAAAAAATATAGAGGCAAAAGAAATATAACAAAAGATGTTGTTGGTATATTTTTCAGCGTTAGTCGTGTCACGAAATGTTTACATAAATTGTTTTTTGTCACGCTATCTTCTTTCTGACTTCGCGGTGTGTTTTGAAGTTGTATGTACCCATAATGCTTCGGGGATGTAAACAGGAAGTTCGTTGCCATGGATACCGCGAGTTAACCGGGCTGTTAGGGTTATCTCAGTTTTTATAGCCTAGATATTGGATTTGTTAGTCACAGCTTAACAAAAATGCGCCGAAATAGCTCTCAGCAGCGTCAGTTCACGGTTTTCACTTTGAAGTAGCCAATAGAAAGCGAATATTTTACTAAAGTGAAGAAAACTTAAAAACTTTCGAGTTGTTTCTTGGACTTATAATGAGAGTATTTCCCCTCTCTGATGACTATGGACGTTTATTCGTGATGGACAAAGGTGGAAATGAAGTCTTGAAAAAGGGTAAGTCAAAGCAACAGGAAAAGTAAATGTGTTTTGAGATTTTTGGGGAATTTTGACTCCAAAAAGAATTCCAACTTTTGAAGCACCACTGCTTATTCCAACAGTCTCAGAAAATATGAAGTTCTTCTAATGAGCATTTATACACTGTAATCATTATATTTATCAAGTAAATTAAACCTTAGAAGAATAACTGAAGTGTTTTTCTTTTTTTTTTAATGAAAAAACATTTTCTTATAATTTTCACAGGAAATTATATCCCAATATTGCAGAATTCAATGTCAAAGTAGGGGCTGCACAATTTAGATAAAACTGACACTATATCTGTAATATATATGTGGCAATATTAAAAGTAGCCTATACTGCAAATAAAACCAAGTAAATGCAGTCTGCTTTTATGCACATATTAACCCTGCAAGATATTATAAGATGGGTTTTTTTCCCTCTTAATTGGCACCATATAATCTAAGGGTGGCTGATAGTTAGCTGGAGCTTCATCTGACTGCATCAACGTGTTGTTGAAGCATTGTTATCAAACAGGTTAAATGTGCACAATGCATATACTAATAGAAAAATGATTTCTTCTTTAAATATTATAATTTTAAATATATGGATGACGTAAAATTATGATTTCAGACCCTTGCTTTTCAAATCCTTGCTTTGCAGCATCGACAACTACATCAGGTTATTTTTAGAACACCTACATGCACCTGTCATTTCATTTCATTTTATCTTTCCTTCTGGGCTCCCCAAACCAAACTCTCCTCACGATACAAATCCTCTGCCTTTGAGTTTCAAATCTGGGCAACCAGCATTTTTTAGCTAAGCCATATGCTCCTCCTAAAAGTTGAAGACGTCCAGAATATTGCTCGAGCGCCAAACATACCTCCTTTTCTGACTTCTTGGACTCCAGCAGGGGGTGCCAGTGTGCAATGGGCTTCCTTGGGTAAGCCAGCATCTCGTTCCAGTGGTCCCTTCCAAGTCCCTCGGCGTGACACCCAACCCTCATAACACCAATGATCTCATTGTGACCTACCCTGTGGGGACACACATGTACTGTATTTAAACGCATGTGACTCAACCTGACAAGACTTCTCTTACATCAGATTGTTGTTCATCATTAGGAGAAGGGGGTTGTGTAATGAGAGGAGACACACATCTGAACCTGGATGTCCTGCCGATTGATACAGCTACTCTGCAGCTGACTGTCCCAGTAATTGACTCATCTCTGGATGGCTTTGTTCCATTAATAACGTCTGAAGTGTCAATGAAAGCTTTCATTCTTGACACAATAAGTGGATTATTAATATTAACAAAGCCGGATTTAACTCCAGCAAAGAAAAACAAAACATGCTTCAAAGACAGCAAAGGAGGCTCGATATCAAACTATCGTTTCTCTTTGTATACCGAACACACATCCCGACCTTTAACACGTGTTCTCATTCTGTCAGCTGTCTGCACCGAATCCACTTTTTCCTTTCCTGTTATAGAGTCATGTTGTGTAAACAAAAAGGTCCTGTTGTGCAGCTCTTTTTCTTTGAAACTGCATTTCAACTGGCTCGATTTAAAAAAATATGGATTATCCTCATTTTATAACTCACAATATGTCTTCAGAGTTCAGACATAAAATACATGACACATACTGGACCACACAAGTTGTGATATGAAAGAACATGTGCTCAAACCAAAATCTTAAAACTTAAGTAAGTGAGTGTTGAAACAGCTTTAGTGTCAGACTCTTTAGAGACCCAAGAATCTCCAAGTGAAGTAACAATGAGCAGCTCTTTTAGTGAAGGCGGTCTTTAAGCCCTGATATGAGATGTGATGCCGAATAAGAAGTTAGTTTGAACGTACAAATCGTAGTCCATGACAGAGATGTGCAGGCTGACGTGGTCCATGCTGTCTGGCGGGATGTCAAAGATGATGGCTTCGTTGTAGGTGGGATTCAGAGTGTTCTTCTTTATGCTCGTCTTCTTCTTTTTCAAGCGTCTCCCGTCACATATCAGAGACACTTTGACGTACGGATCTAATCAGCGAGGGGATAAGAGGAAGAAGAACAAGGACAGATATAAAGTGACTCCATCTAAACAGGAACTGCTGATAATGAAAAAAGCCACCATGTTTGGAGGCTCTCCAACTTATCCGTCTTATTTAGGAAGCTGCCAGAGCGATAATTAGCATGACGATCAGGTTTCTGGGACTATTAAAAAACCACACAATGTCTGCATTGACTGCCAAGACGTCTTCAAAGATGTCCGTGAAGATACAGCCGTCAGTGTCAGTGTTTCATCACCCAGTGCGTGTGCGTGCGTCTTCTTTTTGGTTCCTACTTAAGCATGAAAGCCCCCCTGGAGGACCTGGCATCGGTAATGTGCATAAAAGAAGATGAGTCAACACCTTGTGTAAACAAAAGGGGACGAGGGGGCCATAGATAGCTTAAACAGCATGACTGAAAGAGCTTCCTGATGAATGCTGATTTCAATCTTCATCCGTCAGAGGCAAACCGCCTCGCATGATCCATTATGCCACGTTTTAGTCAGATGTAAGCTGCCCTAAATTTATAAACAACAAAACAGGAGTGCTTGCTTTGCAGCCCAATATGCTTGAAGGCACAATTTGATAGCTGCGGGTTTATGATGCACAGATTGAAATAATGGCAGGCAGCTAAACCCCCTTAAACTCAAGGGCATAAAAATGTAACTCACATAAGAATCGTGAAATGTCATTAAACATGGGAAGTTAACTGCCACATTTACTCTGAATTACCTGAACCCTGGCATTTAATACACAATAAATGTCACTTTTTACAAGTGATATCAGTGTCGCAGGGAAACATGGAATGGAAAAGTGGAACAGAGCTCTATTAAAATAAACAGACCGCCTGCAACTGTTTGCTGACAATGTCCTAATATCGCAAGAGATGAATATTAATAACTGCTGAAAGTACACACGACACAGCTGTGGAGAAAACTCCTCTGTTTGTTCACCTAATCTGAAACGCTTACCATTGAATATTCAAATGGAACCCATTTATTTTGAGTCGCTGCACCTGCATGAGAATCCCACAGACACATGCAGAGTGACACACACACACACTTGCACACACACCTGAGTACCCGGTGATGTCCATGGCTTTCAGGTTCCTGCACTTGATGACAGTAAGTGTAAGTCTGCCTGCGGTGGGCAGGTAGCAAAGTGAAAACATGATCTCCCCGAGGTCGACACTCTCCTGTGGGAACACACACAAGCAAAGTGGGTAAAGTGTTTCAGTTTCACATTTACAATGCAACATTGATCCTCTTGATTCAGAGTCGTGTACAATAAGCGTCACCTCTCATCCTCAAGGTCTGTTTCTGGCTTCACTTTTATATTCAATTCATGAGCTGCCTGTTGTAACTGCCTGTGGTGGAGAGCACACGTTCATTGGTGCATAGTAAAAGAGAAGTACTAGTATAACCCCTTTCATGAAATCACAACAACATCATACATTTTATGATGGCCTCTTGTGCCCATAAGTAATAAATACAGAGTAGTAAACTAGCCAATTAGAGCTTAGATTGCACATGAAGGGGTTTAAAAGAAAAGTAATGTGATGCAAAATAATGCAACTTCTCCATTTGCATTTTTGGCTTGAAAAGGAACTGCATTGTGTTTCTTTTGTTTGGTAATTGCACCATTGTTTGGAAAATCAGATACAAGAGGGACACAGGCTTATTGTAATTTCTGTTTAAAGACAAAAGGAAAATATTTATTTTAAAGCACATTGCAAATTAGAAAATGAGTTTTATTGTCTTTAATAACATAAGAAAAAAAGGTTTGACATTTTGAGAAAATTAGGCATCCGTTCAGAGCTTAATTGAGATGAGAGGACTGACAGCACTCTCATGTCTGGACTCTGGACTAGAGGTGGGAGTTGCTTGGCTTGGCTTAGCTTAGTTTAGCTTGGTACTGTCCAACACTCAACACATGGGCACTCCTAAAGGCCTTGTCGAAAGTCAGGGGGTTATACAACACATCATTTTGACATCAGTTGGAGGAAAACATCTCTGTATGAGCAAGCTTACTGTTAGTCATTACCTTGGTTGCTAACAGGTTAGTCATTCACACTTGTCCAAAAGACAAATATAACGTTTCCATCAATTCATGTTGTGCAACTCTGCGCAGGTAATCCCTCCTTTGTGTAGCAGACCATACCTTCCCAGGTTACTAAATGAAAGTGGATGGTCCATCACAGCTAATAAGATCAAATTGTGTCCCCAATTTTTGGAACTCTAACTCTCCATCCCCCAAAAGGTCAGCACTGTCAGGACTGCTTGATCTTAGCACAGTGTATGTTATATAAAAAATATGTAATCTAATAAAAAAATATGCGATGTAAATTTCTCCAGTATTTATGCTAAGCTAAGTGTACCACCTGCGTGGTCTAGCTCCAAAGATAATACATTCAGATGAGGTTGATTATCCAAATTAGCATATTTATGCAATAGCATTTGTTAATGATGATGTTGATGAAATTTAAGTGTTAGAGTAGTAATTCATCAAAGACAAATTATCGTAATTAACACTGAAAGATCTTTCCCTTTATTGTCTTTTGCACTTTTCTACAAGAAAGTAAAAAAAGGTCACTGTGCTGCAGGTGTCATAGGAAAAAGTGGTGCAACAAAAAGTGAGAAAAGGAAACTGAAAAACCGGGCGTCACTTCAAGTCCTCAAGGTTATTTAGATTTCAGTATCATCTTGAAGCAATTATGTTTGATTCTGAAATTATGGCTGACTGGCTTCGTTAAAATCAACTCTCATTGCAGTTTTCATAACATTTGTAGGAAATATAATTTATATTACCCAGACATCATCATCAATCAAGACTGTAAATTAAAACAAACCAGAGAAGACATCAAATGTACACCTCGCTAACTTCAACATAATGCTGCCCTATTACCCAGAGAATCACAGAGTGAATGAGTCCTAGAATTGCAAAGATCCCTCGAGATGGACTCTAAATTGGTTTCTGGGAGAAAAAAAACTTTCCAAGCACACACTATCTACCCACTAAAATATTAACCCTTCTGGAGAGTCCTGTATGAGTACTTACTTAGGTAATAGTCTCGAGTGGAATAAGAGTGTTATCTGTCATGTGAGTTCTTAGCCTGTTCTTATAAACTGTATCGACGACCCACAGACTCTTAATCTCTCTGAACGAGCTTGGTGAGAACCTCGCTGATTGGCAAATCTCAACACGTCTGTTGGAGTGCTGCAGTCTTAACGTCTTCTTCACACATTCAGAAGCAATTTGGCTCGTCCACTCTGTGGAAGTGAGGGATTTGGTTTGAAGGGTGTGAAGGTTCAGCTGAAATGTGAGACCACGGCAAAAATGTCAAGTGCTGTAAAAGCATGAAGTGACACTTTGATTGTCCTTGTATGAACACAGGCTGTTCTGGTGCCAGTAGCCTGTACTGCATTATTATGTTTTAGCCACGCTAGCTGCAGGACTCAAGAGAGCGCAGTGCCAGACTGTTGGTCTTCTGTTATTCAGTACACAACTTTGGTCTGTTGTTCAGTAAGTCTTTCTTTGGTCTAAATGTAAAGGTCCAATATGTGAGATATCTACTGAATTAAATCATAGAATGACATTATTACTATGTCATCAGACATTAAGGAAACATGTTGTGATGAAGTGCTGGCTTCTCTGGCTTCTCTAATTTTCGATTCCGGTGCAGAATAGTTTGTTTCTTGTTTGACCAGAGAAGGGAGGTGTTTACCCCGAAATTGACGTTGGACGTCCTTCGGTTTGCCAGGCAAACAGCAAACCAACAGATGTTGCAGCTATGAAAGCCTTGGCATATTTCTCTAAGCTTGCTGATGTAGAAACGTGGTTAAACTAGGACAAATATGTGAGATGCTTTAAAAAAACAGACAGATGCAGAGCTGATTTAACACTGAAGCTTCAGGATCCGTGAGCAACCTGCATACATTGACTGTGGGGCAAGGGGGACATAGCTGTCTCCAATGTTTTGAATTTGGTCTGCAGTACCCATTTTAAACACTAGGTGCCAGAGGTACATATTACTCCTTTAAATATCTAATACTACAATTATTGATGGATTGCCCTGGGGTTTTGTGCTGACATTGTCCCCCAAACTATCCTCTTGTGCCAACATAATTTCAAAGTTTCATAACTATTCAGTGATATATCTTAATTCATGAGTAACCTCATTCATGGTTCCAGGATTATGGTTATGAATGACTTTCTTGGTTCCATAAAATATATCTGTTGGAAAGTTTGCCATGAAATTGAATAAATGGGTAGTCATACTCCTTGTAATAACTGTAATAAATAAGGTTATTCCTTAATTCAAATCATGTATTGCTTTACCATCAGCAATGGCTGTTGATGTTCAGCACTGATTTAGGAAAACTTGACAATAAGACATTGATAATTTGTCATTTTGACTGAAATGTCACAACAACTATAGTTGAATTACCATGAATTTTGTGAAGACAGTTACTTTTCTGTCATGGATGATTTGCAATAACTTTCTCCAGACTTTTCTACCAACATGAATTCATAGTGTTCAGAACTCAATGAGAATATTTGAGCAAATGGTTAACATGGAGCATCTTAACTTCAGCATGTTGGTGCTAAGCAGTTCTGAAAAAGTTCCATTTGAGGAACAGCTCACATTAACCTCCCCTGGAGTGACATACCTTCACTTAGATGGAGGGCAGTGCTACCTTAACTTTCTGTTTGTTGTGTATCATGGATTTTATGAATATTGCAGAGCTAGAAAGAAGATGTGTGAAGTTACTTCACCTTCAGTCCATATGTGTTCATGTTTGACCATTTTGTAAGCCTACCATTATGAGCCTTAACTCTGGTGCTCTTCAGTGGTGCTGCATTGGTTTGTGTTTGGCCGTTCAACTGTTAATCAATGAATTTCAAATCACTCTATTTGTCTCACCTCTTTTGCTTTAGAGTATCTTAAGAGCTTAAAAAAATCGCTTTACATGATATAGATGCTATGAAGCCTAGTTCTTGCAATGCAAACTTAAGGAAAAGAAGATACCCTGTTAGAACAATGGGTACGTTTCTCAAATTTGAAATGCCTGTTGTCATTGCAAGCATGTTCACATATTCACATGTGGACATTAGAATTTGGACCTAAAATTAACAAGAATGTAGTCTCAATCTTTTCTAAAATCTAAAAATCTCTTGTCAAGTCATGACCCATTTGCCATACAATGCATTTATATCAATGCTTTATTCTCTAAACTGGATTTTACAAAGGAATCATTCACACACCTCGTTTTTTTAGTCTCCTTTAGATTAAGTATTCTCTTCAATTCTTGTCACCGATTAGCACCTAAAGACCTTCTCGAAGTAATGTGTTCAGTCGAATGCACATAAGGACTGGTGTGAAGTCGTTCTCCTTCAGACTCTTATCTTAGCAATGCTTAGTAAGTTGGCTTTATTGATGAATATCTCTCCTTGATCTATGAACTGAGCCGAGCTGCTGGCTTTTCTCTTACCCATGCTCCCCCTGCTCAATATGAACATCTCTTCCACTCATTAGGCTCCACTGTGATTTCAAAGCAGTGTCTTTATTTCACCCAAGACTTAGATTAAACACCACTTCATGTTTGTTTTTTTTGTTTCTACTCAGCCATCTGTGATTCTTTATGTTGCCAATCTTGAATTTAATGTGAGCAAGGGCTTTTGTCATAAAATCATTTGGTGGTTCAATAAAGTATGCGTGCCAAGAAGAGGGACGCCTTCTTTTCTGCCAACTATGCAATAACCATGAGGTTATTGAACAGCCCTTGAAGAAGCTCAAGTTCAAAAACTGGAGTGGGGAAAACTGTCAGATATCAGGTCTCAGTAGAGGTGATTAAATCATGAGGGCTGTATGGATCCAGAATCAAGGAGTACTATGCTGAAAATGGCCCCTGTACATCATCAATGAATAACAAAGCCAACAGAAACATCATTATATGAGTCAGCTGAGTCAGAAATTTTGTGTTTGAGATTTAAGCACCTCATGGCTAAATATACTCCCTTTATGTTTTTTCCCTTTATTGTTTTAAATAAGTGAAAATTATGGTAAAAACTGAGCTTTATGTCTCAGTCTTCATAAGGCTTTTGCTCTTTGATTTCTTTGTTGCCATTCGATTCACATTCAAGGGCTTCTGCCAGGATTTCATTTTAATAAGAATAACCTAAAATTGTTCACTTGAAAATCAAATAAAGGTCTAATAACACATTTTTAAATGTAGTTTAAAAAAATATCCAATTTACCCCGCAGGTTTATGTTTTGTATGTGGCAGCAAAAAAATGCAAATGTCTAAATGAAATGTACCATTTTTAAAACTAGTTCAACTAATTCTACTAATTCCAAGTATGAGAGACCGAGCCAAATTACCTCAACAGATAGACCCTGGTCCCGCTGTAAATCTGAGGCCCAGCAAACCACAGAAAGCTAACCTGATTTTTTGCACTTACTGCCCTGGACCATCTACAGATCTCGGGCCCTTGGGCAATTGCCCAGTTGCCTGAATGGTTAATCCAGCCTTGGACCTACAGTAGTATGTGCAGGGTCTGCTTGGTTTAACCAAAAGTGGAGAAGATGTCTTGGACACATGGACCTCAGTGATGTCATTGGTAGCTACGACCTGCCACCTCTCTTTTATCAGTTGTGTGGGGAAACTAATGAGGTCTCAAACATCTTATCCCCGCTGTTTTTAAAAGCTTCTGGATGTGAAAGCAATAAGGCTCGAAGACATTTCCTAAGCTAGTACATCTTAAACGCTATGCATGCACATGGGGTAGTAAAGGGCCGCGGCTTCAAGGGTCTCAAGCCCAGTTAAAATGTCCCCTCCTGTGCACACATAAACCCGTCCTTTAGCACTGATTGAGCATGAATTAGCTCTACACCCACTGTACAGTAACAACTATAAGACCACATACTTCATAAATAAGATTTATGGCTCCTGAAGGCACCTAATCTTTTTTGTCTTATATTTTGCATTATATCATTTTTTTTGGTTTTCAAATCACGAGATGTTATCCATGTCTGCGTTGCTTCTTTTTTCTTTGCGTCATTTTGATTTGTTTTTCTCTTCTTTTGCTTCATGGTTAATACATCGCTACCAAATATCACAGGTAGTTCCTAACAGCAGAAGATGGATCAACTTTCCCAGCTCTCAGTTTTAAATAAATCAGAGAAACCTAGAAATATGTGACCCTAAAATCGAGGAAGGGACGGAACCAGGAACCTCTGTGAAAAATCACACCCCTACTAATATTACTTACTGTTTGTCTGAGAGAGAGCCTGGATATGTTTGCCTTCTTGTCTATGGCTGAAAAGTGTCAAGTCAACTCTCTTTTGATTTGTTTGTTACTGTAGACAAAGTACAAAGAACAAAACTTGTACAAATTGTCTTTGACTCCTGATACCAACATGAGAAAAGCCCTAAACACTCACTGCCAGCCAGCCGTTCGATTTCATGTCTTTAGTCATAAACTTTATCCTTTCATGCACAATTGCACACACCTACCTCAATACCTACAAAGGGCCAACAGTCAGTCATTCTTATAAACTCAATGGAGGGATTTGGCACCAGAATAGACCTGGTTCTATTTAATCACAGCACAATGTCCAAGACCCAGTTCCCAAGAAATAGCTTTTTGCTGCTGTTTTTAGATACAGATAAATACCACACACTGTCTGAGCTCTGGTCTTTGAATAGTTTTTAATATGCACAAAAGTGTTAGTTATGTGACTCTTTCTCTGTGTTTCTAAAGCTGGACAGAGAGTCATTGTTAGTGTGTACACTGTCCCAACTTATTGTACACAATTTTTGTCTGCCTTGGCGTATGATATTATAATGAGACGCACGCGATGCTCACACTATGCTGACCAATTTGACCCTGGCCGAGGCATGCATCTCACAATGATCGTCAACATGGCTCATTAGAATCTTAACGGTCAAACAAGCTCATTACAGTCCGAACGCCCCTCTTTGAAAGCAGTCATGCGGGACCGTGGAGTTGCTAAAAGTGCAAGGCGGCTGAAGAAAACTTCTGACATGGCAGAAATCATCCGTCAGGCAGAACATTGATCGTTCAGGGACTTGAAAGGGGTCAAGATCAGCTGCACGTCAAAAAACAACCCGTCTGAAAGTTAGAAGGGAGTGACAAATCCAGAGCTGAAATGTGACAGAAGATGAACAGGCTTTAAACTTCCCACCAAAGTTCCAGAAAGTGTCAATGTGACCTCTTTGAGCTCATTGATAACTTGGACCATGATTGAAATTTTAACTTATATGTGTAGATTGAAATATATACTCTCTCAAGATCTAGGTCATGCACTTTTATAGAATATACACATCTTTTCAGAGTCATATGATACCAAATCTAGAAGAGAGAAAAAGCTGATTGATTCTTACACTGGTGGCGTATTGGATGTCCCTCCATATGTTTGTCTCCCTGGAGAGGTCGGATGTCTCAAACAAGTTGTCCAGCACCACCTCCCCGATCATATCATGCCGAGAAAACCGATCAAAGTCAAAGATGCTCATATGCAGCTTCCTGATAGCCAGCTCCTCGTAAGGCACGGGAAACTGGAAGCTCTCACTGAATGTGGGGTTGAGGGTCTTACGGTGGACGCGAGTCTGAAATTTCTTGCGGTCAGGCAGAAGGTAGACCTTCACGTAAGGGTCAGATGTGCCGCATAAGTCCTTGGCGGGAAGGTCTACCGCCTTGAGGATGTTGACCAGGAGAGCCTCATTTTCGTAGTCATACTTGAGAGAAAAGTTGATGGAGCCACAGTTTCTGCTGCTGCCGTTCTTGGATGAATCCTCTGAATCCAGGGTCTTCTGCTGGTAGAGCTCCGGCTGGATGCGACCAATGCTTGTCGGCTTTTCGTCTTTGTCTGGCACATAGTCATTTCCCAGGTCTAGACTGCTGACCTGCATCTGTCTGGGTAGGTGTCTTTTGAATGAGTTGTGCCTGCGGGGATATAAAGGACAAAAAGATAGGAACAGAGTGACAGAGAATATCATTTAGTATGTGTCGATGAAACATTAAAGTTAATGGAGGTTTTTAATTCTAGACACACACTGACCTCAAAGACCTTGCACTAGTAAAGGGTCACTTATTATGTCCCCTTATGCCACCTCATGTCCTCTGTTAAATGTGGTATTGATCAGAGATTACAGCAAACATCTAGCTGAGTTCTTTCCTGTATGAGAGCGACTAGTTTCTTTAGGCTATGGCTGATTATTAAGATTAACTTTATTGATCCCTGCAAGGGGAAATTTCTGTTTTTACACTCTGCTTATCATACCACACACATAGGCTGAAATATACACATGCACAAACAGGATCCTGTGGACATGCACTGATGGAGTGACGGAGCTGCCCACAGTGGCGCTCCTGAGCTGGTGGTGGGGAGGGGGTTTAGTGCCTTGCTCAAGGGCACCTCAGCAGTGCTCAGGAAGTGATCTGGCATATTTGGTCCACACTGGACTTGACCGGTGACCCGCTGGTTCCCAACCCAAGCCCCTACAGACTGAGCTACTGCTGTCCTCACAAAGTTTAAAATGCATGAAAACAATCACAGATACCTTTTTGTGTCTATTCTCTCTCATACCACAGTCAATCTTGTCAAATTTTGTATTTGGATGCTGGTTACTAGTCAAACGTTTTATACTGATGCTGTTAAATTCTGCTTTTCTTTGCTTTGCAATGAAATTACATGATCTTTTGCTTAAAAAAAAATGCAACATATCACAAAAGGTCCATGAGAAATAAAGAGACAAATGTCAGGTCTTGATAAAACGGGCTGACGGTTTGTGTCTGAATCCTACATGGAGCTTGTTGTAATATTTTTTGTTGCTGTTTTTCAGTTCAACAAAGGAAAACAAAGCGTGCTTTTAAAGGATAACTGCAGTATTTTCTCCTATTACCATGGGTACAGTCAACGGGAATTCCTGAAAGAACAGCTTAAGCATTTTTTTTGCTTTACTTCCCTCTGTTTTATTTGTCCTCATAAAGAAACCATCACATATAATTAGTTTTACTGTAATGACCTCCACAGAAGTGGCTCTGAGGCAGGGAGTAACATGATCTACAGTATTTATTATAATTAACTTGTTAGGCAACAAAATTGCTTAGATCGGGAAATTTCTACCTTCATTAGTGATGCATTAGGGGTACTTTGTGCCTAGTCTCTGGAAATGTATAATGTGTAGAAGTGAGGCTTTTTTCTTTATTTCATGTTAGATTAAGGGACCTTCTCATGTTGTGTCTAAGACTCTATGTTTGCATGAATGCATGCTTGAATTTACCCCTGAGCATATTTTCACATGAACAACAACATGTCACTGTCCTGTGTAATATCAGTTGTGCAGACGTGTGTGTGTGTGTATGTGACTAACCGAGTGGAGGAAGCCGGCTCGGTGGTTTGCCTCTGCATGCGTTGCGTGCGGCGCAGGAAGTGCTCCCTCATGGAGAGCTGCACATCGGCGGGGATGTCAGGGGATGTATGGCTTATCTTCACTGCCGCCTCCAGAAAACCCATCGAACCCATGGGGTCTTTCACCTTCTCCGTCGCCATGGTGACCAGTGGCTGCTGGGGGCTGGACAGCGGGGGAGACGGCTGCAGCGGGCAGAGTTCTGGACCGCAGTCTGGGGTGAGGGACGGAGTGGGGAAGTGGGCCTTAGTCCGCCAAGGCTCGACGCACAGCTTCCAGGAGACCAATGTCAGAAGGCCCAGCAGAGCCAGGCCGCAGACCACAAACACACCGAGCAGGAGGCCAAAAGTAGCGTCTGGTGGTGAACCGCGGGGACCAGAAACAGAGGATCACACAATATGGACAAACAGATGGTGATAACATGGGGGAGAGAAGAGAGAGAGAGAGAGAGATAGGCAGTGTATCAGGACATGATTTTTTCAAATGGTCCAGTGCTGTATCGGTGGTTTCCATATGAGACTAAGGACAGCCAGCCGAGTGTATTGGGAGATGTTTCATAAATATTAAAGTAACCTCCATTAGTCTCCAGTTCAGCCAAGGGTAAGGGAAGCATATTAATGTAAACAGGATTCAAATGGGACTGCTGTATTCACTCATGCGCTCATACATACACACGGATAATTTTCTATTACAGGACTCGCTTTGTAGGAGAAGTAATTATAGTCGCATGATAAAAAAAAGTGCAGAATGTAATGGAAAAAAAGGCAGAAAACATTCCTTGGATTTTTACCATGAAACAGATAAAAGAAGCCTGGCAGAGTCATTTATTTTTTTCCGGCATTTTGAATATGTTTCCTGCGGAACAAGCAGCACACAAAGACCTGGAGACGAACCAAGAACGCTGACAAGCACTCTGCAATGAATCACAGCAGCACTGAAGGGAAAAAAAAGAACAAACACAGAAAAAACATTTTATCATCTGGCGTTTGCCCTTGAGACTCTCGCCAGAGTCACACCACTCTTTATTTAACAAAATTATATATTTTATAAGATGATATGCTTGGATTGTTTTCCACACCTTTCAGTCGAGGTGCCCTTTTCTACACGCCCTGATTACAAGGATTTATCTACAATAACTCAGGATGAAGAGCGTCTCAGGGGCCACCTTCAGAGCATGCCTGAACTCCTGTCTCTACAAAACACTCCTCGGACAGTGGAGAGCTGCTTCATGACACAGTGAAGTAGATATTTTACGACGTTTATCTTGCTCAACTTTTGCTCACTTCAGCAAAATATAGGAATCAAGCTGCTCTGAAACCTGCGTGTGAGATTCAGATTTTTGCAGATGAGGTTGTGAGATTCATGTGATAAATTATTCATATTGAAATATCATCTTTTTCATATTGACAGATGCTCACCATTCAGTAGTAAGTCAAAGTCTTGCATTCACATTTCACACATTAGCTTAAAATGACAAATCCACAGTCGTTACCTTAGTATTTGACAGTTCCAGTATTTTCTGAGGTACTCAAGAAAATGCATTTTACATGTAACTAAATACAACTCCACAATGTTTCTGTGAGAGGTGTTGTCCCTTTCACACCTCTATATTTATGTCACAGGTACGGCCATAAAACCAAAGCTTTTAAAGTAATGATTTAACACATATCTATAGATCCAGTAGATCCAACCCTTTTTGGATTATGAATGCTTACAAAGTAGTTTTCATTGTGGCTGTTAGTTGTTAGCCATTCCACAAAGACCCCCCCCCTCTTTAAACTTAGGATAGGATAGTACTTTATTGATCCCCAGAGGGGAAATTCGGGCGTTACAGCAGCACAGACAAGAAAGCTCAAATACACATTAAACAGAATAGATAAGATAAATAAAAATAAAAAATAAAACCGGGGTATATACAGTACAAAAATGAATGTTGAAGTTAACTGGGGGGAATTGAGAATTGAGACAGTATTTGAAGAGAATGACAAGATAAAGTGACAAGTGATGATTAAAGTGACTTGGTATGATAAGTGACAAGTGACTCAAACTTCTCAAACTACTGTATATGATTGAAATACTCTAACATTTTGACAGCAACACTCAGGTTGTCTTTGATGTCAGATTGTTTAAATTTTCAATCACTTAGATGAACACTTGTATGGTGAACACAGTCACAGCGGACGGCTGTTCGTCATGAGAATCGTTCCACTCTACTCTGCCACTTCTACTTTGACAAATGTTACAAGTATTTTGCTCATGATGGAATAATGTTGAGTCTCTATAAATTATATAACAATGAGTACGGGCTAGTTCTGCTCTTTTTGCAAAGTGTCTTGAGATGGCATTTATTACTTAGCTCTATACAAATGAAGATTGATTGGCTGACTGCATCTTTAATGTTTAAATTGTCTTTATGGACCTAAAAGGCTGTTTGAACACTTGGAAAAATTATGAGCTTTCATGTTCAAAATTCAAACAAAATGTCCACTAAGCTGAATTTATAGCTAAGCCAAGTGGTGGAGAGATTTTGAGTCTGGAGGATTTATGCCTGAGGAGGATTTCTCGGCTGTCCACAGCCCCGGCCTCTCCATGTCATCTGAGATTTCACACAGCTCTCCACAAAGCTTCGCCCTCGCTGAACTGTCGCTCGCGGTCTTCATCCTCCGTCACAGCAAATGGAAGCAGACCCTGCGCCGTGCACTGCAACGCAGACACCCGTGGTGACAATCTTTTGCTACAAGATGCTATGACAGCCGAGAAATCTGTAAGTGAGAATTCAACTTTGACTTGTTTTTAGTATTTTGACCGCAGCAGCGCCCTTCAAAAGAAAGTTCAATTTAAGTAGGGATTTTTAAAAGTCCGACGCTGCGGGGCACCAAACTAATCCAGACAACCGGCTTCCCCCGTGTCAGTAAGACATTCTGAGCCTCTTCAAGTCTTCAAATATTTCAAAATCAATCAAAAAACAAACAAAATGTATATTAATAGATTCACTAGTCTGTTTCATGCTTCTGTTTGCTGCAGAAGCAAAGTGCACTGCAACTTTTGGAACTACAACTCCCACAATAACTCAAGTGATGAAAGCAGAAAGTGTAATGTTTCTATGGAGTCAGCAGAGTTACCCTGCAGCCTAAGGCTAGTGCTACATTTTTTAAGCCTATAATTGTTCGCAAATTGACCCGATGACAGTATGCAGAAACTAGCTTATAGTCGTTTTCTCTTTCAATGATACTGATGGATCTACTGAAACTTTCAGGCAAACTGAATTTATTTATTTAATAGGGACAATGCAATTTAACATAATTTCAATACAAAGCATGAAACTGATGAGCTGCATAAAGCGTATATAGCTATTGCTAATTTCCAACTTGTGTCCCCAGTTGGGCCTTTGGAAACAAACAGATTAAATGTACAACATTCATAAAACCCCAGAACACGATATGAGGATACATTAAAATACATGTACAACAATACAAATCTAAGCAAAAAAATGAATCTGTTTTCAGTGGATCGTTTTCATATAAACATGTAAAAGCCTTAGACAGTGCTTTCTTGTTCACTTGCAGCAACTTTGGGTTTTAAACTAACTAAACTAACTTTGGGTTTTAAAATGTCACTGAAAATCTGAAAATGTTTGATTGAATGCTTCGATATTTGTGTTGGCAAACTACCCAAGTAGCATCAAACTACAATAACTAACATCCTGTTGTTTTTTTAGAACATCATCATGCCTCTGCTTCTTTCAGCTGGAGCAGAATTGTGGTGTTTTATTAAACCGCACAAGTTTGTGCTAAAGTAGCACTATAAAATGAGGGCATGTGAGCGGACTGGCACTGACTGTGTGAGGACCCTTTTGTACACACTGCAGCTTTAAAAATTGCACTGCTTGGCCACTTTTTGCACTTTATGTGACAGGTGTGTTGACTGCTATATTAAAAGAACTGGAAGCTGATTTTTATGATAAGGTCTGTAATGAGTGTAAACACGGTCTGAATCATGTTCCTGTCAACAGTTCTTTTTGATAAGGTTAATGAGACAACTCCAGCACTGCAGTGCCTACATGAAAGTGAGAAATTCATACCAAATTGATTACAAAAAAAGAAATGTTGAAGTTGATATACTGCTAATTGTCTTTAGAAATCGGGACACACTGTATAGGGCCAATAGCCAATCATATATATATATATATAGAGAGAGAGAGAGAGAGAGAGAGAGAGAGAGAGAGAGAGAGAGAGAGAAAGGATTGGAGTGTAAGAGAGACAGAGTGATGGTGAAGCCATCGTTCTTCCTCTCCAGACAGATGGGTAATGGAGCAGAGCTGAGTGAACATTTTAACTCCCTCTGGACACAACCGTCCCTGACAGCGTGAGACCACACTGACCTCGGGGGTTTAGCACACTATTAATGATCACACCCACGCCACGCAGAAGAAGTGGACTATCGCAAGCCTGCAGTCAATCAAAAGGGTCTTTTCTGGTCCTCTCATGCTGAAAACACCTTTCACGATCAATACTTAAGGCGCTCAATCCATCTCACTATAAAGCCCATTCAGGTGGATTTTGGGGCAGGTGCAAATGTCAAGCACGTTTAAGAAAGATAAATGTTTAATCCGTGACAAGATGTCAAACTGCAAGTCTCTGATTCAAGCAGAGAACCACAAAAAACAGAGCCTCGGTGGATATTATTATGTTTGTATAAAAAAAGCACCAAATTAAATCAAGGTTTTATTCTGAGGTGGAGTCAGAGAGCAAAGTGAAGCCTGAGGGGCTTTTCTCTTTATTTTTTTTTTGTCATCCAGCGCTTTCATATCTGACCTGGTTTCCAGAGTAACCCAGTCGTTAAGAGAGAATGTGTCCTCCTCCTGTATGCTGTTATGAATTGACTCATCTGTGGCAGGAGAAGTCCACTCCACTGAAGATAACACACAAAGGTCAGAGAGACGGCAAGAAGCTGTTTGTGGTCACTAAGTTACCTCAAAGAAGCTTCAATGTTCAGAGAGAAGAGGGACTAAGGATGCATTATTTTAATATAAGGGACTGTATGAAGTAGGGTTGAAATTGAATTTGTCTTATTCTTAAATGTAGAGTTGTTTATTTTTATTTAATGTTTTTTACCTCAGATTTTGATGTATTCTTTAATTTTGGAAACTTGGTTTAAAGATGCTTCTATGTCAACACGTGTGGATTTATCTTAATGCAACATGAATAGGTCAAAGGCTGCATTCTTAAGTTATGAGTCTGTTGACTTTTTCTGTACAGCACCTAAGTTTGCGTATAAGGTCGATGCTTGTTGACCTTTTTGCTTCAACCTTTTAAGAGGAACCTTAGTGGTGCATTGCTTTTAGAAAAAAAGAAA